ATGACTAAAATCATTTGACATTGTGATGTTGTAAGGGTTTATGTAAATAGAGTTAAATGTAACAAATATTCAAAAATAAAAATCAAAAGATCATAAGTTAAGAGATGGTTATTATAGACAAAAACAAAAAGGACATAAGATAAATGTTTAAGTGAACTAATAGGATATATATGTTCAAGGTTAATATGAAAAGCAAAGTTATCTTAGAGAAAAGATATATCATATAAAAAATATTCATGTTAGAAATTTTTGACCATTGATTGTGCGTCTATACCGTAAAGACCAATAATCATCTATGATCGAATCACAGTTAACCGACATAATCTCAGCAAACTCATGCAAAGAAAACGTTAATGGGGAACAAAACCAACTCAAATATAACCATGGAACAAGTCTACCAAATGTACGAAACCTGTTTAACATACGACACTCCTAAACAAGTCTACCACACCTTTGATTTTTTCGTAGATTGCAGAATACATTTAGGGCAAAGAAGTAATTTCAATCCAAAAAGTCAAATGTCTACCAAACACATTACAACTAAGTCTACCTCAAGCATTGTAAATAACTCTACCATAGACACAAGTCTACCATCAAGCACCACATATGTCTACCAGATCGAGGTTATCTGAATAAATACCAAAATTATTTAATCTACCACATGAAGCTCAATAGAAGTCTACCATACGTGCAATAACTCTACCAACAGCTTTTGAATCTACTAAAAAAAAAAAAAAAAAATCTACCCATTTTTTATAAGTCTACCTTATGTAACAGTTAATCTACCACTTAACAGAATGAAAACACCAAATTTTTACTTGAATATAAATCTACCACATTACATAAAAATCTACCACAAGAGCAAAAAATCTACCAACTAGATATAACTCTACCAATTTTATAAATAATCTACCACAAAAATGATAAATCTGCCATCACGTTATGATAAATTTTCGTAAATAAATCTACCACCAAAAAAAATAAGTCTACCAATTCGGGTATTAAATCTATCATATTGTCAACAAATCTACCGACAAAGTCAACTATGCGAGTAAGTCAACGATTTTCTTAACATGTCTACCAACACATTGGATAAATGTGCCACACATAACAACAATTCTATCGAAACTTAACAAATCTACCTCTCATTATCAAAACTCTACCAAGAAAAGTCTACCAACATTTTATAAATCTACCAACTCTCGAATAAATCTACCATCGTCCTAACAACTCTGCTATCCAAAATATTGCGTTGACCAAAATTTAATAAGTCTACCGTTAAAGCCTGGTAAACTTATCATTTTTTAACCGTTACTTTTTGCCTACATGGCACAAAAAAAGTAATGGCATTTTTGTAATTAGGTTTTTTTCATCAAAGCCAAAAAGGATATTTTAGGTACGCTAGGTTAGTTTTGTAATAAAAAATAAAAGTATGCCAAACAAATAATAAAGATACATTTAAAGGTTAGTACAGTAATCCTCCCTAGATAAATAAGTCTGGAAAAATAAATCTATGACAGATTTCCATCACGACATGAAAAGTTTGTCAATTTTTAACAAGTATGTTGTGTTGTCTATTAAACTTATTAAATAAATCTATCGAGTAAAATTAAATTTGTCATTTAAAATTAAGTCTGGTGAACAAAAATATATTTGTTATGACATAAGATAGATTTGTGCGAATAAGTTTGTCAAATGTCATTAAGTCTATCATTTGAAAATAAGTCTTTTATGTAGTCAAACAAACTTATGTATATAAGTCTGCCTTTTGGCATTAAGTCTACCACCCGAAAATAAATCTACTAAAATGTCATAACTCTATGATCATTACTCCGACAGATTTGTTATGATAGACTTCTGCAAAATTGACAGATTTGTTATGATAGAATTCTTTAAAATCAACAGACATGGTGGCATTCTTGTAGTTAAATGGACCTTTTTGCTGAGGTAGAAATTAATTAGTAATGACAGTCTTGTAATATATTTTTGATACAACTTGCTCAAAAGAAAATTTTTGGTAATAAATTTACTAAAATGAATTAAATCTTCTGTAGGTTATCCTAGTAAATAAAGTTATAATTAAAGTCATTCAAGTAAATCTTCCAAAAGATTTATGGTAGATTTTTTTAGACATTTGTTACAATAACTTTAAAATATGAAAAATAGCCTAAATAACTTTTTAAAAATTAACATATATTTTGGAAAACATTTTTACTATATTACCTTTAAAATATGTTACTTATTACATATCTACCAGCAAAAATAACTAAAACAAATTAATATATTGAATTAAAAAACGAAAATAATTAAAAAAGGAAATCCAATCAACTTAAATAAAACCCATGTTCTAAAAATTGGCCGCGTAGACTGATTAGTCGCCGGAAAATCGCTCGGCGGCCTCTGACCGTCGCGATTTTGACCTAGGCGGATTAAAAATCGGATTCTTTGAAAATTCTGCTTTTTTTCTTCATTTAAGACTTGAAATCAATATATATATATATATATATATATATATATATATATATATATATATATATGCCAGATCTACAAGTTTAAGGTGTAAACAATAAGAATAATGCAAAATCTGATTGATGATGTGAAAAAATTGGATTGCGGCCGCAAAAAATAGTTGCAGAACTCGTGACATACCTAGGTAGAAGATGAAGTTAAAATTACAATTTTGCCTATGAAAGAAAAATAAAAAAATAACCAAAATCAAAAGTGTAAGGGTTTGATCCCAGGTGCATTGGGCAATAAGTGGTACAGCTTCCACAAGGCCACATCAGTTTATTATGCTTTTACATGTTACTAAATATTTATATACGATATTGTTCCGATAATAAAAAAAATCCACAAAACTAATCGCCGATTAATTACTTAATCCCCGATTTTATGGTTAGGCGCTAGGCACACCTCAACCGTCCGACTAGTGCCTAGCGACATTTTGAACATGGAATAAAACAAACATTAAAAACAAATCAATACACTAATAAAAAAGGAAAACGTCTATTTTAAGAAAGGAAATCATTTTTGAAAAGCCATTGTCGATGGTTCCATCTTCTTCCTCCTGAGCCATCTTTTATTTTTTAAACTAAAATCTACAAACAACAAAGGTATCAACAATCAAATTTATTACTTTCTTACAAAAATCGTAAACTGACTCATATATTTTCTTTTATTTCTGTATTGATTACGTATCTAGGTTTCACAGATTGTGTATTATGTTTCTAATACTATTTTTTTGTAGGTACTCACTTTAACAGACGTATTTTGATATATTTCATAAGTAGACTTAAGTCATGTTTATAAACAATCAGTGGACTTGAGTAAAGTCCACAAGTTTTTTAGCAGACTTCAATACCCACTTTCAAAGACTTAAATTTAGTCCATGGCTATTTGGTAGACTTTCATAAAGTCTGCAATTATCAAGGTAGATTTCAGTAGCTAATTCCGTAGACTTATATTTAGTCTGCAGACATTAGGTAGGCTTCTGTGAAGTTTACGAGTTTTAGGTAGACTTTAAAATTCTGATCCTGCAGCCTGACTACAAGTTTGTGGACACTTGACACACATTCGTGAAGTCTACATATTTTCAGAAGACTTTAAAATCCAATCCCGCAGACTTACTTTTGGTTTCCTGATGATCGACAGACTTTCGTGGCGTCTACGTAATTTGATCAGACTTCAAATCTCGGGTGGGCAGACTTGCGTAATGTCCTCATGATTTTGGTAGATTTAAAAGTTTTCTCTGTATATTTGCGAGCAGTCTGGTAGATAGGTTCTTTAAGTTTGCTAAAAATGTGCAGGCTATAGGAAAGTCTATCGACTTTTTGCAAACTAACTACAAGTATGCCGACTTGGATTTTAAAGTCTGTTAAAAATATGTAAGTTTCATGCAAGTGTACCGAGTATCCCAAATTCAAAGTAAGTTTGTCTGATTGGTTTTTGTAGTCGGCCAAAAATTTGTAGACTTTACGCATGTCTGCTGAGTGTTCGCAGACTTCTATTATGTCTGTTAAAAATTGATTTTGAAGTCTACCGAAAACATTTAGACTTCACGTAAGTCTACCGATAGTTCGTTGACAAAACATAAGTCGGCATGATAGGGTATTGTCGTCTACCGAGAACTTGTGGACTTTATATGTCGACAGCCTAAATACGAGTCTGCCGAATTGTAAAATAAATTCTGCAACAATAATTGTATATTTTATGCTGTTCTAATTTTCTTTTCTATGTTTTACTATCTTGCGGGAAATTGGTGAAGTCCATAAAAGAAGAAGAACTCTTGATGAAATTAGTGTAGATGATGAAAAAAGTGGTACTATTGATGGAGGTGTTAAAGATCCAGAAAAAAGTGGGTCTCTTGACAGAGGTGGTGAAACAGATGAAAAAAGAGGTACTCTTGATGAATTTGGTGAAAATGAGGCACATAGTGGTGCTCTGTATGGTCGTGAAGAAAATGAGGTCAACAGTGGTACACCTAGAGAATGTGGCGAAAGTGAGACACATAGTTCTTCCTTAGATGAACTTGATGAAGATGGTCAAACTCGTGTTTCCATTGATGGTAGATATGGGTCTACTTCAGATATGTCTTTACATGGGGATATTGGAGAGCATATATGATTGGTGGCTTAGAAGGCAAACATAATATTTTGCAGATCCTAGAGTGTATTAGGGTAGGGCAAATATATACTTCCAAGGTGGAGTTACATCATAAGTTACGGCTGATCACAATTTTTCAGAACTTCGGTTATTCAACATACAAGTCGACAAAAACTTTGTTGGTACTTAAATGTTCAGTCGCTGGATGTTCTTGGAAGATTCGCGCATCGGCAGTCAAAAATTCCTCAGAGTTTAAAGTGCAAAAATACATAGACATTCATACATGTTTAGTCACAGAGAGGTGTTCTCGTCATCGACAAGCTACGTCAAAGGGTATTGGTGAATTATATTTAAGAAAATTTGGAAAAATTGGTGTTGGAATTAGACCTATGCACATTATGGATGTCATGAAGATGGTGTACGGTATTGATATTGATTATTGGAAGTTGTACAAAGCATTAGTGCATGCACGTGAGCTTGAACAAGGTACATGGGAAAGTGGGTATGAGGATTTGCCTATGTTTCTTCATAAGATTAAGGCAGCGAATCCAGGTACAATTACTAGACTTATATGCGACGAGCAAGACCGGTTTAGGTTCTTGTTCATTGCATTTGGTGCATGTATCAATGGTTTTCAGTTTATAAGAAATGTGGTTGTGGTAGATGGGGGTCATTTGAAAGGAAAGTTTGAGGGTGTTTTGCTTGTAGCCGCTTTGCAGTATGGAAATGGTGAGATATTTCCCTTAGCTTTTGGGATTGTAGATTCTGAAAATAATGCTTCATGGGAGTGGTTTTTAACCCAGTTACGTATGATTTGTGCCGACCAACAAGAGCTGGTGGTTATTTCTGATAGACATAGATCCATTAGAAAAGCTGTTCGGGAGGTGTTCCCACAAGCTCATAGAGGAATATGTACCTATCATCTCCATCAAAGCCTCATTATGAAGTTTACAGATAGTAGTACACTAAAGTTGGTTAAAAAGCTGCAAGGGTGTACTAGGTTTCTGAGTTTGTTGCATTATTTGACGAGATTCAAAGGCAAAATCCTGATATTGCAACATATTTGGAGAAGGCTGATGTTCGTCTGTGGTCTCGCGCAAATTTTCAAGGAGATAGATATGACATAATGACTAGCAACATTTCTGAGTCTATCAATAAGGTTCTTAAAGATGCTCGCGAGTATCCAATTGCTTATTTTTTAAAAGAGCTCCGGAAGCTATTTTCGAAGTGGTTTATGAAACGGCGGGAACAAGCTCTGTCACTGCAAACATTCTTTACTCCAAGAGTCAAACTTAAACTGTCATATCGATGTAATATTGGCAGTACTCTTACGGTGCATCATATAGATGCACATCGTAGCTATGTCACTGGCGGTGCATTTGCTTGTGTTGTTGATATACAACAGGTATATATTTCTATTTTTTATTCATATTCTCTGGATATTACCTTTTATTACCATCTTATAACCTGCTGTTATTGTGTTACTAATTTGGTTTAATCTTTTCATACTGGTAACAGAGGAGTTGTACTTGTCGCGTTTACGACTTCGACAAGATACCTTGTGAACATGCTCTTGCTGTTATTGGGAAGCGACCAAATCTATCTTTGGAAACTTTCGTGCATCCTTACTACACAAAGAGTACCTTGTACGGTGCATATGTAGAGTAAATTAATCCTGAAGATAATGAGTTGGAACCACATGCAGACTTACCAAAGAAAACGTGCCTTCCACCAGATGTAAAATGTGGTGTAGGTAGGTCAAAGAAGTCAAAAGTGACAACTGAACAGCAACCCACAAGTTACGTAAGCATACTGATACACGGTATTTTGAAAACTTTTATGGATCATTTTGAAATACTTTTTCTATGTTTTTAATTGCTTTTAAGTACTTTTATTATGTTTTTCTAGTATTTGTAGTTTTAAGACACTTTTCAGGTAACTTAGGGAAAAGCTTAACAAAATGGATAGAAAACCAGATTTCAGCTCAGAGTCAAACCGTCAGAAGTTCACCCCCGATTGAAGGCCTTCTCACCGTCTGATCCAGCTCAAATTTGGAGATCTCAAAGATGGAAGTATCAGCTTTCCAGCACACTTTACAGCTTGGCAATCCAACGGTTCAATCAAAAGATACGCGAAGAGCAAGATGTCCTGTAAACCAGCCGGTAAGCGTTTCCACCCACAGCCAACAGACCAATCCTCGCGGTCACAGCCACCGCGACCGCGGCCAGCCACCCATTTCCCGCGGTCACACTCATCCCGACCGCGGCCAGCTAACTCCGACTTTGAAGGCCCATTTCTGAAGCCCGTATCATTTTCCCTGCCTCAATTCCGGAACCCTAGACACCAGAGAGTATTAGAGACTATAAATACATGTCATTTATGTCGTTTTTAAAGAGAAAAGAGAAGAGACGAAATACTTTACAGAAATTTTACTTTAAGCTTTGTTTTTAGGTTTTTGGGAGAGAGAGATCTATCTCTTGAACCCTTGTTCTTTCTTTTCAATTTCGGTTTCTATTCTACCTTTTAATACTATGTTTTTGATTTCGTTTATTATGTCTGAGTAGTTTTATTGTTGGGTCTAAGGGATTTTCGATGGGGATTTATATGTTCGGTGAGGATTCCATGAGCTTTTCAGCCGAATCTTAGAACTTTTTCTTCTGAATTCATTTTTACTGCATGAGAGTAGCGTCATGAACTACAATCTGATCCAGATGCTTGGTGACACGAAAGTGTTCATCCGGTGTCAGATCTAGTTTGGGAGAGCAAAACAACCATAGGAGTGGAAACCTACCTATGGGCGATTTGTGAATGCTGACGAGTCTTAAACATAATGCATCTCTTCTTTTCCAGGGCCAGAGTGGAAACCTACTGGTCAGGGTTGAGAGAGATAGTTGTCTATGATCACGACAGTGGCGTAGTCATACGTCCGTGAATCCAGTTCGAAAAGTTTAAGCTACGATCTTATCAAATTTACTCTCTAGCAATGTTTTGAATCGTTCGTACCCCTGAGAAAACTTCCCTGAACCCCAGCGCCTCTTTTCTTATAGATTTACATCGTTTTATTTCAAGCTTTAGTTCAATATTTTCATTCCCTTTTAATCGATTTCATTTAAGCAATTAGGTTAGCCGTTTTTCCTGTTTTACCCGTTTTCGTTAAGTTTAGTTATTAGGTCATTTTAATTCCCGTCTTTTCTCTTTAGGATTCGTTTTTGCATTTTAAACACACCACCATAACCCTCACAAAAATCATTTGGTTCTAGACTTCCTTACTTCATATTTCTTTCGAAGGCTTTTGCAGGAAAGATCCTCATTCCCTGTGGATTCGATCCCTAAGTACTACAATCGATCAGCTGTGCACTTGCGACTATTGATTTTATTTAGGGTAAAACTTGACACCCTCACGACACACCCACATCAAATACACATGTTCACAATGTAACATGGGAGGACATAACCGTGCCAGCTGCAAAAATGTTTGAGAAGCAGTCGTGATTTGCTATTAAGTTATGCTGTCCTAGCTGCAAAATTCGAACCAAAGACTACATAACGTTCCAAAACGAGCCCTACGTACCTCCAATGGCAAACCCTAGATATCCTATGTATCGCCTAACTCACCAGGTTCTCCACCAAGATGAGAACGTCCAGCTCAGTAACCGATTGAGTCAGCACAAAGGCGTAATCAAGCAGTTCATAGAAGCTCAAGCAACTACTACAGCCGCTCTAAACGAAAGGATTGATGGGTTATCGAAACTTTTCAATGAGAAGATCGATAACCTAGCCTCACAAGTCAATTCAATAGAAGGACGAGCAACCAAGGACGCAGCTATGATCGCTAACAGGTTCGACAGCATGGAAGAAGAGTAAGCGAAGCATACCTATGAGCTTCGCAACACCAAAAACAAAGTCATGGACCTGGATTTCAAACTGGATGATGTGGACAAAGCCCTAAACGAAGCTAAGAACGAGTCTTATGACTTCACAGTCGAAGTTTCAGAGAAGGTTTACAAAGTCATTGACAAAACCGAAGAGCTTGACTCAACCATGGACAAAGTAGTCTATGCTCTTGATGAACAAAGGATAGAACTACATTCATAGGTTATCATCATAACGCCTTCTTCAAGAGTTAAAGAATTTGTTAGAATACCCTTCATGTATTTTCTTAAAGCAGGAATCATAGCACAAGCTTCTACGAAAGGTAATATCACATTTAATTGATCGATTAGCTCTTTCAGCTTAGCTTTTTCTTTTTCTTTCTTAGGGGCTCTTAAGGCTCTAGGATATGGAGGTTTAGGTTTATAGACACGAGTTGGTGGAGGTGGAATCGGGTCTTCTCCAAGGATTTCCCGGGATGAATCTTCTCTTACTTCTTCTCCATCCTTTTCTCCTACCTCTTCCTTTTCAACATCTTCATTCGTGATTCTTTCTTTTTCTTTCTCCTTTTTCTTACCCTTTTCCTCAACTTCGGGATCTTTAGGAAATTCTGGCTCTTTGTAAGCTAATCCACTCCTAAGTGTGATAGCTTTCACATGATCGGAGGGATCTGCTTCACTTGAGCTTTCGAAAGAATTTTCACTTAGCTTCTCTTCAGAATTTTCTAACTTTTTAGAATTAGTTTTGACCATTATGTTAAGGAGGGTATCGGAATCCTTCTGCATCTCTTTTAGTTCAGATCTAAGATCACTGATCTCTTGAGACATAGATTTTTCAAGCTCTAGAATCTTTTTGTTTAGGTTTTCAGCTTCAAAAGAGGGAAAACTAGGATATGGAACATGATTAGATTGAATACCCAAGATTGGTACGGGAGGTGGTGTCCAGTCAAGTTTGGAAGACAATTTCCCGCGGTCAGGTGGCTCACGACCGCGGTGAAACACGTCTTGGCCGCGGTCAGAACAGCCACGACCGCGGTGAAAGGTTGCTTGGCCGCGGTCAGAACAGCCACGACCGCGGTGATCAGAAACGAATGGAACATCATGAATTTGATATACTTCTGCAGTGTTCATCATCCCTTGATCATAAGAATCTATTTGGTTGTTCCAGCCATCAAAGTTACACGTATTGTGTACCCTATTTGGTTGTTGCAATCCAAGATGACTCATTATGTGACGGAGACACTTTATAACTTCTGAAATTTCTTCTTTCTTCTCAGGAAGTGCAGAATTACCAAAGGTTACTTGATTTCGGATGCTGTTTCCTAAATTTTTAATGAAAACGTGAGCATCTTCTACAGATCTAGTTGTGAAATCTCCATTACTTGCTATATCAAAAGAGTGTCGTAACTCTGGAGTTATACCGTGATAGAAGATACTTAGCAGGTATTCTTCGGCATATCCATGGTGTGGACAATCTCTTTGGTATTCCCTAAATCTTTCCCAAGTATCTAAAAGATCTTCATCTTCTTTTTGTTTAAAAGTTCTTATCTTCTTTCTTAAGAGATTTGCAAGATTTCTAGTGTAAAAACGATTTAGGAAAGCAGTTTTACACGCTGCCCACGTTTTTAGTGAAGCAGGTGGCAAAGATTTTAGCCATTTGCTGGCATTATCTCTAAGAGAGAATGGGAAAAGACTACACTTGTGGTAATCCCCATTTGCTGTAATGGTTGCACATAATTCTTCGAAAGTCTCGATATGGTCTATCGGGTTTTCGAATGAATAACCAGAGAATTGATTTTGTTGAACTAAATGGATATGGGGTACCTTAATTTCGGTTTTGCCATCCTCAGGTAAGGCTGGTTGAATAGCTCTTCGATCTCCCATGAACTTTTCGAGTGAATCGAAACTTCCAATCAGTTCATTCATCATCTTTGTGTTTGACCGATCCGATTAGCTCATTGTCATCATAAATCGGTTCTTCAAACTCATCATCAGTCAGGTCATCGTCACTTGGATCACCATCCACATGATTTGGTGGATCACCAAGAGTCCCGGGAACATGTTCCCGGTCTCTCATCGCAGAGAAACCTGAAAAAATTCAAAAGAAAAAGTAACAATAAACAAGTGTTCTAATGGATTTAAGCTGGGATTCGCAACGAAACAAATATAAGTCCCCGGCAACGGCGCCAAAAACTTGATTGCGAGTTGTAAACGGGGTTTTGTTGTTTTCGTTTTACTAAGCTTCAGGTTTTAAATTTATAACCCCTAAATGTCTGCAAGTGCACAGATGTGCGCTGTAGTACTTAGGGTATCGATCCACAGAGACTTAGTTGTTTCAGTACGAATTCACTGCAACGCTTAAATCAGATTATAACTAAAAGGGTTTTGGTTTTGGTTTTGGGTTTTTGGTTGTCACTAAATCTAAACTAGAAAGCAAAGAAAGTAAAAGCAATTGAAAAACGAAAGCAAGTAAAACAAGTAGTAAGCGATTAAACAAGAGGCGAATTGAAGCAAGGAAAAGCGAATGAAAAGCAAATAAAATTGAAGGTAAAAATCGATTGAAACCAGAAGGCTGTAAACAATTAAAGACAAACGTTGGGGCTCAAGGGGAATTCGCAGGGGTTCATGGACTAGGCTATGTCGATTTTAAACAAGTGATAAAGGTAATCAACTACGTATGTTCTAGAACTCGAGGCACGGAAGTATGAATAGCCTACTTTCGCAGCACTAAACAACTATCTCTCGCAACTCTAATCAGTAGGTTTCCACTCTGATTCTGGAAGGGAGAAGATGCAATAG